GCCACTCTGATATATACATAAGCTTAGTAAGCACATTAGGGTGGCTTGATATTTCGTTTCTGATTAAATATCTTTAGAAATCACAGTAAAATCGATCGCCTGCAACGAAATTGAGTATTTTTTTGTTATCCAATGCAATAATCAGCTGATATAAAGCAAATAAAGTTAAAGTGTTGCCATCTACTTGAAAATTTTAAAACATAAAAATCTATAAATAAATATTATCTACAATATGGGCATAAAACAGAAAAGCTTTAAGAAATATTTTTATGTAGGGTTGCCAACAGTTGAAAAGCAGTTAGTGAATAACGGTTTTGAAGGTATTTTGAAGCAATTACAAGTATTACAACTTGGGGAAAAAACTAAAGATGTTCAAAAATCCTTACTGCCGAAAATATTGGAATGAGGGTTGCCACCAATTCAATTTTTGTATACAATTAATTTGATAATATAAATGAAATAAATGAGAAATGGGCAATAAACTAAACAACGTTGTGGGCAATTTCAGTAGCAGATATTATAAAGAAAGATTGCAACCTTTTGAAAAAAAATTTTGATTGATGATTAAAATATTGACTTTAAACAAAAAATAATTGACACTTAAAGGTGCATATAAATATTTTCAATATCGTTGTCACTTGTTTAAATAGTAAAAGTTGAAAATCAGCAATCAATATAAATGAAGCAATCATAAATAAGAAGAAACTCGCATAAGAGCCTGTTGTACAGTATCGGAACTGATCCAGATTTTATCCAGCCAAGCGCTTTCGAAGATATAACCCTGTTTGAATCGGTAGGGAAAAAAGTAAAGAAAGTACAACGAAGAGTTTATTAATTTCCCCGGAAAACATTTCGTCCCCCTCTTGAAAAAAAGTACGAGAAAAACATAAAAAACTACTACCAACCTAATATAAATATATGTATATTTGTATCACCCCCATTTCAACTTTTGTTTTTCCGTTTTTATTTCACCAATTATAAGCCTCAAATTAATTGCAACCCCACCCAGTTGCATGCATTTGGCATTCTGGTCTTCCGGGCGATTAAGTCCGAAAGCGGAAGTAAAAAATTATGTACTATACGTACATACAAACATACGTATCTACGCCCTTCGATCAGCTTAACTCACCCAAAAAATACTAAAAAAAAAACTAAAAAAATTGGAAAAAAGGCAAACAAAAACGAGGAAGTAAAACACAGAGCCAAAATTACAAATTACAACAATGTTCGTATAACGAGTCCATCCCCACCATATGTTCGTACTCGCATACCCATACTTGCGGCCTTCTGGTGTTCTGGTGTGTGGCCTTTGAAAAACGGTGGGGGCATGGTGGCAATTAAAGCACTTGATCCACTGACCTGTCATGTATCCGCTGATAAGTGTGTGTGCTTGCGTGTTGCCCTCGAACATTTTCCGTTTACCAACGGCAAACCGACGATTTTCCAATACACCCACAACATTGTTACGTGTATATATCTCCCCTTCCTCTACCGCGACAATTCGTGGATATCAGAGGAAACCATTCAACGTCGGTTTTAAATTTAATTTCACACATTGAGCGTGCTTACAAGCACTCACACATAGATGTGAAATCATGACCATTTTTACGAGGGTAGCTGGTGGGGTGTCCCTGTTGACTGCTGGCCATTTACAAGTATATGAGTCTTCATGTCCCCCAACATTGACAACGTTATTAATGTTTAAATAATTAACAGCAGCGGAAAGCCTGAATGCAAATGATGACATTAAGAGCTTTTTTCGGTTAGCTTTATTTAAATTGCCGTTAGAAATACGTCGAATAGATTGCCAATGCAGTAAAAGCCCTCAACCTCAAAAATCTTCTGTAGTAAATCTATGGTATTTAAGTACAGTATAACAAATATAATAAATAAAGATAATTATATATTATATATAATTAAATCCATTATTTTTCCAATAGATATTGCAAAATAGATCATGGTGTAGTAAAACACCTAATACTTGTATTATGGAGGCCTTCCATAAGAAAAAATTCAGGATGCATATTCATATAAAAACAAAAAATTAAAAAAGTATTTGCCAAATACATAGAAAACCTGACGGAAAAAACTCGGATACCTTAAATTTAGAAATATTTTTAAATGGAGATCCTCCTACTAAAAAAAGTTATCTTAAACAAAAGGTTATAAAGCGTAAACTAATGTATGAAATTTATGGGACTTTCATCGATGATTTTCAATACACAAAGCAAACCCAGCAGTTTTCTCCACATTCAATCGCCTCCCCCTTCACATAGTCCTCTCGCTAATTGTCTACAGATCTCTGATCAATTTCATCGAATTTTATTATGTATACTTTTTGACGGACGGACATTGGTTACGGAACATTGATATGGTCGCCGAGAACCTTTTTTGACAACGGGCTTGAGTTCTAAACCCAGAATAAACTTTGCACAATCAGATTATAATCGCTCACAGGTAATTTCTATGAGGATTGCCTAAGACTAATGTTTATCGACTCTACTGGTCCTCGAAACATAGTTATCCTTGTCTTTGGTTTGTGATCCGCTTTTCTAACAGCCAATGACAATTGGCCAAGTGATTTGCCCATACATTAGGGTTTCTTTATCCATACGCATACATCAATTGATATTAAACGTCATAATTTCGCTGAAATATCTTACATTTTGGTAACCTAGACACTGCCCCTGATCTACGTATGTAGTTATGCTGTCCAATTAATGCCAGCAATATCAAAACCAGAAAGACAATATGTTCACCAGCGACAGGGTGATAAATGCAAACAATTGGCAGGCCATCGAAGCCATTGAAATGCGTATCTACCACATGAGTGGCGACACATCTTTGACCCATTATTTTTCGCATTCTCTGCGTTTTCATTTTCTCTACTATACAGCAACCAACGAGAGGAGAGCGGTGTACACCTCACTGCCACGAGGCGTTAAAATTATGCAAGCACAACAAATAACTTGCTAATGAGGCGCCGTTGGATTTTTGCAAGACCAACGTCGAAAGGGTTCTACTCAAAAACAGTAACAACAACAACATAAAGCGATATGCAACGAGCTCAAGGTGGCATGCAGGTCGCTGGTGGATGGAAAATTACGCACATACTCGCACACGCGTGCACATGTCCAGCGGCTATCTCGACGGTCAAGTGAAGGCGGGTGAGCGCCGGAAGGAGGCGTAAACTCGTAAATTGGCATCGTAGTAGGTCGTCATGCACGGCACAAATGATTGAATCAAGTGCAACGTAAAATGTGCACCTCTTCTATGGATGCACAACAGCAAAGTGTGTGAACTCGCACACAACCAAACAACAACAAGAGTCAAATACGCAAACACACGCTCAATATACTATATACAGTTTGTGCTGTTAAACACTTTAAATGCACGTTTTCTTTTCGTGATACTGATACATAGGTACTTTCTAGGTCAAAACTCTTCACTTGTCTTTTGTTTTCCTCACATACACATTTTTATTTTTTTTGTTATTTTTATTCCTCCTTATAGTATACATTTTTGCCTTGAAATCGTAGTGGTATTTGAGTGTGATATTCAATGCATTTAGTTTTCAACTTTGAGCTGAAATTGGTTGTTGTAGGGCGTGGCTAACGATAGAGTTGTTGACACGTGTCGCTGGAATGTGACGAATTTTTGTGAAAAAAATTTGAATAAATAAAAATAAACCATTTGAGTGGTGGCAAATGTATGGAACCGCATAAATTGCTGCTTAGTGAAGGTGACACCATTAAACCTTCATACTTTATTTATAAGTCCTTAATGATACCTGCAACGATGCTTTTCTACCTCTCTTTTCAAACAACCAAGAATGAGTTTTTGTATTTTTATAACTGTCGTTTATTGTTAGCTTTCAATTTTTCGCAACTACAATGAAAGGCAAGTTTTTTTTTACTTAAAAACATCAGTCCCGATCAAGGCCGAACCAATACTTGATTAGATATTGGAGTGATGATAATGCCAATGTTGAAACGCCGTTGCAACCTAAAAAAAGTCAATGTGTGTTGTGCTCTATGGGTAGAGGGAATCATTGGTTCATATTTCTTCAAAAATGAAGTCGACCATAATTTTGCAGTCAATGGGGAACGCTATAGAGATATGATTAATTACTTTTTCGTGCCTGAATTTGTGGTTGTGGATGTGGACGATCTTTAGTTCCAACAAGGCGGCGCTACATGCCATACAGCCTACGAAAAAATCAATTTATTGAAGAAAACTTTTGATAAGCGTCCCAGATCGTGCTATTTAACACCACTGAACTATTTTCTGTGAGGTTATGTGAAGTCGCTTATCTGCGCAGATAAGCCTAAAACGATGCTCGCTTTGAATTTATTCGAACCAGCCGCGACGGTCACTTTCCCGAAATCATTTGTAAAACATATGGTAAGCCCTTATCTTTTTAATAAAGCTAAATTATTGTTTTATTTCTTCTTGAAAACCACACGTCTAAAAAAAACCGATTTATAAGAGCACTGCCTGAACTACAGGTGTGCGAAGAGTGTAAAGCTTGAAAACCTTTGAGTATGCGTTCGGTTTTCGAGATAGTATGTTGCTAACGTCATAACAGTTGAATCTAAGATCTTAAAATATTACAGTACGTGATTTTTCCTAATATTGTATACTAGATCTTCGCGCGTTTTCAAAGAAGTTTCAGATGGTCTGGCGACTTTGACAAACACTTTGCAGGCACAATTTACGATTTTATACCCAAACGAGATAGAAATATGGTTTCGTAGTCAAAAGATGTTAATATAGACGTATAGACTCTGAGAACACCAACTATTTTATTGTTAAATATCCATAAAAACTTATAAAATATTTTGATTTCTTTAAAGATAAGAAAAGTTAAAAGAAAGGAAATTTTTCTTTCCACGAACTATTGTTTTTTGTTATTGGTTAAAAGGTAATGTATTTGTATTTGCATGATAATTTTAGATAATGAACAATACCTCCCGAAATCATCAATAAATAAGCTTTGCTTTTGATAATTTTCCAAAGAAAATATTTTTATTTGGTGCATGTATAAAATGTTAATAGCCAAAAGTTATGTTTAAGAACTTCTGTAGGACACTTACATGGACTTGCTATATTTTCAAAAACAGATTTCTTAAAATCCTTACACGAAATGACAAAATCTCCAAGACAAAAACCAACAACGCGCAACCCAATCCTATGCCAAGCATTACAAACACAGCATAATAATCTGCCAAAATGATGACATCAACCTGATTTTGTTCTTGTTTTCTCTCTCCTATCTCTAGCCGATACCAGCCCTGCACCAAGCCCGCCGAGCGTATCCACCAAATCACGTGCTCAAGCTGATCAATCAAGAATGAGTGCTTAGCCAAATACATGGTCCTTTGAAAATTCATAAAATCCTTACTCAAAATCACAAAATTATCCGTCGTTTTGTGCCGCTTCTCGTAGTAATGCAAGAAATCTAGCGTTTCAATAGCGAAGTAATTCCGCTTGGAGACGTGTTTTATATAATCAAAGACGCTCATACCATCCAAGCCTGTTGTCGTAATCGCCGGTAGTTTTCTCAAAAAATCCACATCAGTTAGTAAACCCCGATTCATAAACGATATAACGGTTGTAAAATTGCGCGCAACAAGCTCATAAAAATCCGACGGGACGCACGCAATCGTATCATGATGTGCATAAGTGAAGAGTATACCCTGATAGACGGCACGTATCAGTAGGGTAAAGCATAACCAGATGATGAATAGTAGGCGTCCATAATGACGCATTGGAGTATGTGTTGTTGGCATGCCAAGTAAAATAGCTAGAGAGTTCAGGAACGTCTGTACATTCTTCTCAAAACCTTGCTTACAATATTTGCTCAACATTGACAACAAGGCCCAGCATACGAGGTACGTGCACCAAATGAGTAACCAAGTAATCGCATCGAAGGGAAAAATGAACTGCTCCAAGGAATTTAAAAAATATGCCTTCCTCGAGATGAATAAAATTTGACGGGTCTGGTAATAGCTGGAGACGCCTGAAACAACATCCAGCAGTACTGGACTTTGACTGAAAGCACCCAAAGCCATATCGGCTTCGCCGTGCTGTAGCTAAAGCAAGACAGGCAGACAAATATAAATTAGTTTGTAATTCTGCACAAGTGGCCGTTTTTTTTTTGTTAAATGATTTACCATTTTAATTGCGCCAAATTGAAATATATTATCTGATGGTACTTTCACTTCGATTGTGAAATTCAATATTTTACTTAGCTCACGTAGCAGATAACCCTCAATACCGCCCACTACATGATTGACGCCCTGATCATCAGTACGCAAGTAGGCGAAAGGTGGTATGTGCCAAATGGCGGCGCGCAAGACACAACCATGGAAATTCATTAACTTGCGTGGAAATAGTGTCGGGTTCACGAAGTGCGTGCCATTGAAGCGGCTTATAAGTACCGGTTCCACGCCACCGCAAAAGTCGTCCGTATATGGAAAATACGAGTATACCATTATCTCACCATGAGCATTCTGTGTCTGTACACTACAGTTAATCATGGAATTCTCCCAACAATATGCAAATATCTGCTGGAGATTGGCCTGCATTTGATCATCGCGCACTTGCAAAAAGATATAGTAATACTCGTTGTAGTTGTTGTGACGCGTGTCGGACGCAATGTCAATCTCACTGCAATTGATAAAGAATTATATTATAGTCTAATATTCCAACGATTTTTGTCTCACCGAAATGCTTCAAATGAGTCCGTCAGTATGACATTATAACGTTTTGTGCCGTCCACGCGTTGCCGGGAGTTCTTGTGGAGCACCACAAAGCGTACCATAGACAGACCCCACATATGAAAGAGCTTTTCCATGAGATTATTGTAAAAATTGCACGTGTGCGGATTACGACAGCATATAATGAGCGTAAAGAATGTACCCATCTGGAGAAGTTGATTGTGAATGACTTGCATGGTCGCATGAGCAGCTATGAGATTCGCCTCGTCATGCTGTTCGCCCGACTTGCTGTGATAGCTCAAGTACAATTGCGTTATGTTCATTTTTAACAGAAATGAATCAGTTGCCAGAGATCTATTCGACTATATAGTCAAAGTGCTACTGCAACCATAACCTTAGAGGATCCACTATTTATGAATAATCCTTTGGTGTACCATCTAGTTCTCGACAGTTTAAGTATGGATTTGCTTGCTTAAATTAATGTGGTATTAATTACGCCATAAACTTAAATTTATTTACTAGAAAGTTAAACAAAAGTCACTTAATTTCTGATTATGGAAATATTTTTCAACAAACATAAACATTTTGTTTAGGTTAATCAAACTGTCGGAATTGAATCACTTCATGTAAAACAGCTGGTATACTTACACCAACGTAACCCATTTGAACAGCCGAGTGCTTACTTTTAAGTTATCCAAACTAAACAAACCAGCTGGACGAATATATTAGGTGATTAATGAGAACTAGGTAAATAGTAAACAATAACGCGGACACGGACGCGCTATAGCGAATAAGTACCAGTTAGTGTTGAAAATACTTGATAGTTAAAGTGTCTTCTAAGAAAATATAGTAAAATAAACAACACTCAATAAGTCATTACATGGAACGTGGTTACAATAATTAATAAGAATAAATAATAAAAATGTTCAGTTTACACCATCTTTAGTAACTCGTTTGAAAAACCATGGCCGATATATTTAGGGTATTAAAACGCAAATATTACGCTGACCAGTTCAAATGGACTAATGACTGTGTAAGTCCTCGAAAAACATTAACGTTAGTATTTTATGTTCAGATGAGAGTAATGAAAGCCATATTGTGGTGTTTCTCGAACTTAATTTCGTTTAATTTTGAATTCTTTCTTCTTTTCAGCAAATACTCATAACAGTAAAAACTGGACTACCAAACATAAGAAAACTTGACTTGCTTGACTTTTTGGTATTTCACTGATTTCTTTTTTTGCTCTATAGAGACGTAGAAATTCAATATTTTGACCTTATTATTAAATTTGTACATTTTTTAAGCAAATAATACCGACAACAAGAGAAGCCTTTAAATTGATTTGATCATTAATTTCTTCAATTTCTCAGTATTATGGTGACTTAATAGACTTCGTAATGCTAGTACCATAGAGCATCGCCAGAAGTAGAAGGTCGTTTGGAAGACAACAATCGCACCAGAAGTCTACTATAAAATTTTTCTATTGATGATGAGAAGCTTAAATATGCGTTAATCGATCAAGAATTTCACTTTTCGCTGCAGTTTCAGTTTTTGCGTTTATGAAAATTGTGATCTTTGGGTAGCTATGTGTTTAATTTGTTATTTTATTTTCCACAAACTACCCGACCGATTTGAACCAAGTTTTCTCTTTAAGATTTCCACTTCGTCCTTTTTTTAAACTTTAAAATGAATTATCAATTGAGCCGTACCTTTTCTAGCTCCATATATCGAGTATGAGCTTTTCCATCCTTCCGGTTCGCTTTGAACGATTGGTGATCGAGATAGCTCAGTAAAATTTAGTAAAAACATTTCGTTTTTAGCATAATGTAACCCGGTCATAAAATTGTGTGCTATTAATAATGGTAATGAATATATCAATTTCCGTCAATCATGCTGATATTACAGTCATGACTTCATATTTATAGTGTGGTTATCTTAATGAAACTAAGTCAGCAACCGCCCTATGGTAAATGGATTCAAAACTTTGCCCCGGAATAAAATTACAAATTTTTATAATACATTTTGGCAGGTGATTTCAAACATTTCATACATGTATTTATTTCTTGCAAATTGAGATCTTATCAAACCGTCGTTAAACTCGAAATAGCTTTTTAAAGACTTACTTACCAGAAATTGTCTTTACATTAAATATATGAAATATTTAAAATATATTTCTTTTTGCAAAATATTTTTCACTCGACATATGTATAATAAATATACAATAGATAATATACATGTGTCAGTATCAGGAAGATATTTTACAAACTTCTCCAGAATTCATAGCAGACACAATGCATTTCTAAGAAATCTAGAATTTTCTATTACTCGAACAATTTCTATGACTTTGTGTGTTTGCTTCTTTCTTATCATGCTTTCATTGCTTCCAATTTTCTTGTGCAATTTCTTTGTAAAAAGCGAAACGGATGATTTGAATGAATGAATGAATATATTGTGGAAGTGTGAAAATCTGCATTGCAAATTTAACATTCAATTTGAATACAAAACTGTCAGTATAGTTCGCAATACCACGGAAATGATGCTGTGGGTAAATATGATGAAAGACTGCATATATGCGCATGTTATGAAGGGTGTTCTGAAGAATTTTAAAATTTTTTCTACTACTTTGCTGTACGCCATATGAGATGAACAGAAATAGATATAAATCTAAGTAAAAATAAAACAGAGTTGCATCTTTGGTTCCGGTTTGGTATTGTTGGCTTGAAAACAAAATTTTGATAAGAATTATGTGGTGGTACTGATTGTAATCCGAAAATCAGTAAATTGGTTAGCTTTTTTCACTTGAATTTTTTTTGTTTTTAAGTGGCATGTAGAGATAGGTTTCTCTCTAGTCTGAAATTTAAAATAAGTTTTCCCTGGCATTTATAATGAAAGTGAGATGAAAAATAAAGAAACAGTTGTGAGAGTAAAATTTGTTAGCAGAAGTGTTTTATAGCAGTTTCGATAATAAAAATCATATAGCTATAAGACTACTGTTGTACACGAACTACCAATAACTCGAATAAGCGTAGCAAATGCTATTTTTAAGTATAACAGAACGAAAGTATACATTATATACATTTTTTTAGAAAAAAGTTGGAGAAATAAAGCTACGTGAATGTATACATATGTCAGGCTCACCTGATTCATGTGGTGCAAATGTGCTCATACGCCAGATTATCAGGTATAGAATAAGTATAATTATAAAGCTCTGTTTCTGTTCAACTGTTTCTATTCTAACTGCAGCTTAGTCTGAACTTTTTCTTAACTGGATATTTTGTCTAAGGTATTTCGATACATTAATATCAAACTTCAAAAAAAGATCTGCTGAACCCATCGATAAGTTATCATAACCTACAATTCTCTGCTCACTAAAGATCCAATAATAAGCTAACAAGCACACAATACATAGATCATACACCTCTCAAAGCGCATACACTCTGACACTCTTTCCACAATTGAAATGAGGCAAAATTAAATTTATTCAAAAACTACAAATGCCCATTCATAAAATTTCATTGCAGAAATTTAGAACACTTGCACTGTCGCTAGCAGAAAAAACTACAACAGAAACAACAACGCGATGAAATGAAATGAAAGTGTAACAAATGAAATAGTTCAATTGATGAGAGTAGCGAATCGTATTTGGCAAATCAACAGACGTGTGAAGACGGACGGGCAGAAGACAGACACACAACTTATCTTAGCGCAAATTTGGTCATCAGAATGGCAATTGAAGCGACGATGATAGTGCTAGTGAAAATGTCATCAATGTTAATGAAAGTGTTGCCAATGAGCGACACACATACACACACACACACGCATTCTCACACTTTCGCTTACAGCGCCGCATTCAACTAATGACCGCGTACGCAAAAGAATTTTCACTTATCGACGAATAAAAGCGAACGCCAACGATGATGAATATGGCAATTGTTGAAATGATTTCGCATAAAAATTAATAAAATGAAAAACAAATAATAAAAAGAAAAAATAAGTTATTATTATGGTCAGAATGTGTCAGCGAAATCAAAATATAATAAATAGTTGACTAAATAAATCTATGAATATACAGTTATGGCTAGAAAAAACATGGGCAATTGACATGCTTTGCGATCTTACTTCTTCGACAAAAGAAGATTTCATTGCTAAGTGTCAGCTAACGGTTTGCTTGTACTCGGTAATGTTTTCATAGAAAGTAAAAGGAAAATACGAAGAAGTACGCGAAATGAAACGTCAAAAGACTTAATTAGCTGCTTCATTTGTTGATGGAAGAATTAGACAAAGATAATTGACGTGTGTATATGGGTAATTATACATATTGTGAGTAGTAAAAAACTTAAGTGCTTGATATAAATCAGTTGGTTTATTTAACTAGACATACCAACATACACATTTTTACACAAAAAAATTTATGAATTTTTGAAATCTGTGAACTAAAACTTCAGTGAGTTTTATACCTAAATTATTGAATCTTTTATATACTATTATTTAGGAATTTTTGAAATCAGTCATGTCAAAAATAGAGTGAATTTTATGAGAAGTATTCGAAATTTTTAGATTTCCATTGGACTTTAATTAAAACAAAAAAACCAGAAACAAGAAAAAACGTTAACTTCAGCTGCACTGAAGCTATAATACCCTTCACAAATACGAAAGATTCCTTACAAGAACTTGTTTTTGATCGGGCAGTTTGTGGGGCAGCTTTATGCTATAGGCATTCGATCTGAGAAATTTCTTCGTATATTGGACCATTGCTTTAGGCAATAACCCACGCAAAATTGCTTGAAGATATTCCGTCAAATGAAAAAGTTTTCCATACAAGCACTTGAATTCGAACGTTCAGTTTGTACGGCAACTACATATATGTCTCATATATACCTCAGTCTCAGTCTGGAGAAAGTCTCGAGATGTTTCCATATCGCCTTCTTCCAAACAATTTTGACAATTGGCGTTTTTCAAAAATTTTACCTGAGGTATATTCAAATCAATTTTGACCGAAGTTGCATACCTGATATCATTTTACATTCGAAATTAAATATTTTATATAACATTACGCAGAAAATCTTGCTTTATAAATTTGCTATTTCCGAAAGTGCAAATTTTATACACTGAAGAGCTCAACCGCCGGCATATTGAGCTGTGTTGATTTATTATATTCTATTGGGTATTTGAGATGTCAAAATCGTGCATTTGTTGTAAAATTTTGACACTATAAAGAGAAAAATTATAATTTTCGTCTTTTTGTTTTTACTCTACTGCTCCGAACTCAACCCACTCTTAATCAACGCGCCTTGCTTTAAAACAAAAACTCACAATTCCTTTAAAAGCCTCTACTGTATTCAAATAATCCATTTTAAATTTAAATATATTGTAAACAAGTAAGGAAGAGCTAAGTTCGGATGTAACCGAACATTTCGTACTCTTGCAACTTGCCACGATCAAAGCCAGGGAAATATCTTCAGGTGCATACGGTTTGTTAGAGCAAAGAAAATCAATATATATAATATGTAGTATATGATAGTTTGGGGAATTTGTGAACCAATTTCACATATTTTCGGCATTAACTTATATCTATCTCGATTAGTTTTAGGTGATACAAACAACCGTTAGATGAACAAAACTATTATACTCTGTAGCAACAGGTTGCGAGAGTATAAATATATATATGTGCTTGTTCAGAGGATTAACAGCCAGGTAAACGAGTTCTGCTCAAACCAGTTGACTAACTTCTGTGTTGCGAAGGGAAGGGAAAGCTGTGACAGCTGTCCATCAGCCAGCCAATTAAAGTTGAAACAGGTAAATGGACGCATGGCTAAAAAAAGGATATCCAATTTCCAGCTCTCAGCTAATTATATATGCACAAAGGTATATAGCAACTTATATATTTAGAGACCAACAAAAAATGGATGAAATTTGTGCGTGAATACAATCGAGTACAATTGCAGATTCACACTTTAACGAACACAAATACATTCATACGATATATAAACAGTATGGGGCGGAGGAGCGTCAAGTCTGATACACCTGGCAACAATGCGAATGCGTTGAGGCT